TCCATCCATTCATCTCTGCCAGTAGCTCAAACTGTGCTCTGTATGCTTCCCACGGTGCTTTCCCATCGAATTTCTGTAGCTTCCGTCGCACTGGATCACTCCTATTACTGACATTCATATCTGGGATGTGACTTCTAACGGGCACTGAATATGTCTGCATTAGGGTTTAGCTGCAGACTCTGTAAGGGGTTCGCCATTGTCTGGGGCTGATTAAGTCGATGGTCAATGTATCCTCCTTGTGTGAAAGACAATAGATCGTCTTTTAACGTATCTAGTTCGCTTTTAAATTTACTAATGTTTTCCATTTGTGCTTCTTGTTTCCTTTCTTGTTCCAGTTGCCACTGCTGTAGTCTATCTTCTTGTTTCTTTTCTCGTTCTTCTTGTTTATTTTCTTTCTCCTCTAACAACTGCTGTAATCTCTCTTCTTGTTTCTTTTCTTTTTCTTTCAACAACTGCTGTAATCTCTCTTGTTTATTTTGCTGTTCGAGCTGCCATTGTTGTAGGTTTTCTTGCCACTGCTGTAATCTTTCTTCTTGTTTCTTTTCTCGTTCTCCTTGTTTTATTTCTTTTTCCTCCAACAACTGCTGTAATCTCTCTGTTCGAGCTGCCACTGTTGCAGGTTTTCTTGCAACTGCTGTTGTCTCTCTTCTTGTTTCTTTTCTTTTTCCTCTAACAACTGTTGTAATTTCTCTTCTCGTTCTTTATGTTTCTTTTCTTTTTCCTCTAACAACTGTTGTAATTTCTCTTCTTGTTCTTCTTGTTTATTTTCTCGTTCTTCTTGTTTCTTTTGCTGTTCTTGTTTTGCTGCCATCAAATCTGCTAAGCTGTAGGTTGATTTGCCGCTTCTCGTTTCCATTATTTTTATCCCACTTCTGACACCAATTTGTTACATCTCCGTTTGTTAATTGATTTCCCGTAAATTCGTTCCGACGAAACTTTAGCGACACAAGTCCTTACTTAATAAAACTGGTTTATTCTTTCCGAATATAACTTTACGATACACTTAATTTCAACAATCACGCTAAAACAAACGCTATAATAACGAAAGTGCTCAACTTCAATAATACTCTCTGACTGCAGATTAATTACTCACTGCCTACACACACATTCTCACGTCACGCCGTGACCATCTTATATATACCAGCCACCCCCAATCTAGTAAATGCTAGAGCACTCCCGAAGGAACGGGATAGTTCTAGAAAGCAGGTGGCGTGACACTAATCACGTGACCTCGCTGACGGAACATAATATATATATATATATCGCAAGATGAACATAGGGTTGGTAAGCTCACTAAAGTTGATTCAGTATCTAGAGCGACAAGATTTAATCTAATTATTCAAACTTATTCTTTTTTTTAGATTAATTATAGCTTGAAAATGTATATATATGTAGATGGGTGGTATATAATACCTGCAATTATTACTGAAATAATCTGTTTTAAAGTTTATTGAAATCACATCGCAATTTGAAGTGTTCATGAGTTCAGTTTGTTAAAATGGACTTTTTTTTTACCAAAAAAATTTAAATATTTTGCGTTTATTAATTCATATGTTTAACTTTAAAATACAGAAATTCCTGTTGAAACAATAACGATCCCAGAACAATTAAAAGACATTATTGTGAGTGTGGAATCGAAAGATGGTATGATACTAGAGAGCAAAATTGAAAATAAAAAAATAATGCTTATGGTGACTGACAACGAACTTCAAAAAAAGGTAGGTCACATTTATTTACTCTTCACTTTACAGTTTTCAGCAGCAAAAAATCTTATTTTATGCATCAAGATGAAAAACCCTAATAAGGTACTCTGTAATTAGCTTTGTAAAGCCAAACATTACTCAGTTTGGTTTGGTTTGAATTTCTCTCAACGCTACACGAGGGCTATCTATGGTAGCCGTCCCTACTTTTAAAGTGATAGAGTAGGATTACTCTTTTACCAGCGAATAGTGGAATTTACCGTCACATTTTCACGCCCCCAGAGGTGAAAAGGCGAGCATTTTCGGTAATGAGGATTCAAACCTGCAACTCTCAGATTACAAGTTGAACACCCTAGTCTCTAGGCTGTACCCGGCCAAAAATCACTCAGATATCATTACAACATGTTTGGGTTTCACAGAACACAACTTCTGTTTTTCTTTCTCTAAAAAAAAAAATATTTTCCAGAGGCTAGCTGAAAGAGAAATTGACACCTTTCGTAGGTTAGTTCTATTTCTTAAAGAACTGAAAATGAAATAAGCTACTTTCGATGGGAGTTGTCTTTTCTTCATAAAAAGGAAGGGAATTTCTCTGTTTCCGGAAATGGTTTCTTCATCAACATAGTAGAAAAGAGAGGAAAGTTGTTTGTTTTCGAGAGTGATTTCTTCACCAACCGTAGAAAATAGAGGGAGGTTGTCTGTTTCTGTGGGTAGTTTCTTCATCAACATAATATAAAATGGTTGATTGGTTTTGATGAATAATCACTTCTTCAGGAGCCGTAACAGAAGTAATATACCTTTTTCAAAATTGTGGTTACTGTTTTCCAAGAGTTGGGGGAAAATTAGTTTCTTTTTTCGATTCGCTACTTTTTTTCCTTGAAGAATTGACAGTAGAGCTTTTTGTTTTGGGAGGAAAGATCTTGCTTCTCCAGGAATTTTGAGGGATGCGACGTTTTTTCCCAAGGGACTCACTTCTTGTTTTGAAGCTAGAAAAATATCTCGCTAAAAGTTTTTATACTTCTAAGATTTGTGCCGAAATGTGTTGTTCTTTTTCAATGACAGCTGATAGGAAAAAAATGCAGTTATCTAATTATATTTGCCACTTTTCTAGAAACTAATAAAGACTTACCACTTCTCATAGTACTAGAAAGGAAATATCTATGTTTTAAAGGTAACACTCCTATCTTTGGTAAGTTTGTCACAGTTCTTAGAAAAATTAGTGGTAAAGAATCGTTTCCTGTCTTCTTGAAGAAATGACCGGAAAATCCTGCTTTTGGTATTTTGTTGTAATTTCTTTCAGAAACGAGTGGGAAATAAACCGTCTTTGGTGGTTTGTTTTAACTTCTTGTAGATACAAGTGGTAAAATGACTATTTTTGGTGAATTGTTCTGTCTTTTGAGAGAAAGGAATTGGAAATAAACCCGGTATTTTGTTTCATTTTTTTAAAGGAATGAGTGGGAAAGAGAAATTATGATTTATTAATCTTTAAAGAAAGAGTGGGAATTAATTTGTTTTTGGTCAATTGGTCCTTTTCTTGAAGATTGCGGAATAAATTGCGTTAGGTGATTTCACCCAACTGTCTGAGAAAACGAGTCAAAATGGCCTGTTTTTGAGGAGGTGTTCCAATTTCTTGGAGAACTAACAAAGAAATATACAGTGAAAAAACAAAAACATCATGCAGCAGTCGACTAATTATTATAGAAATTGGTATTTGACGAAGACATTCTGTTTTCATTACCTTTGAAGAAGCATCTTTAATTTTTTTTAGTTTCCTTCTGCATGATTTCGTTGAGAATCTGTAATCCATCATGTTGTAAGACTGCTATAAGCTTCCGACAGCATCTGTATGGTCATTACTTTAGCCTGCACATATATATATAGTTCAGAATGAAGTCACACCTGAAAATTTTCCATCCTTTTTCCGGGTGTTTACAGTTTGTTTGTTTGTTTTGAATTTCGCGCAAAGCTACACGAGGGCTATCTGCGCTAGCCGTCCCTAATTTAGCAGTGAAAGAATAGAGGGAATGCAGCTAGTCATCACCACCCACCGCCAAACATGCTCGCCCTTTCAGCCGTGGGGGTGTTATAATGTGACGGTCAATCCCACTATTCGTTGGTAAAAGAGTAGCCCAAGAGTGGGGGGTGGGTGGTGATGACTAGCTGCATTCCCTCTATTCTTTCACTGCTAAA